TATTGACTGAAGAACGCGAAAAGGGTGATGTGTCATCCATGATGCCACTTACCGCTCTAAAATCGGTCCGCCAAGAAGACCTTGAACCGTGTGAAAGTATTCCGTATTTATTTCCGTGAATGGTGGTGGCATAATATTTTAAATATCACGACCGCATTCTCCGATGTTGTCATACAGGTTGAAAATTATTATACCTACCAGTGTGATTGTAAAATTCAAGTTGGAAAAGAAGTAAGAAAGTAAGTAAGTACATCTCTTGGAAAGTTTTCTTTGGTCGTTTTTCTTTCCTTGTAATCAATGAAGATCCTAGAGCTAATCTCGGTTGTGAGAGGGCAACTTTTATTTTAATTATCATTTTTTTAACGATTTTAGTAGATTTTACTTGTCCCATTTCGTGTGTTTTATTTACTTTAGTTTCATCTATCCTCCGCGAGAAATTGATCTGCAAGTGAATTTTCACCTGGGCCAATCAACCCCATCTAGAGGATTCGCACTCACGAAGAAAACTCAATTGCAAATAACTTTTACCAAAGGAAAATATAGGTACGTTCATAGACCAAGAGATAACGACAAATTTTGTGAGATGATTAGTAAACGTCTGTCACCGCACCAATCTTCGGAATTGCCAGCTTTGTGACGTCATGGATTTGTAATGGCCGTTTTAAATACTGTAGTGCATTCAAAAAATCTTTGTAACTAGGATTATCACAGTCTTTTGTTACGGGATAATAACGAAATCGTCCCATGCTCCTTTAAGAAACACCCTTTACCAACTTCGGGACGTTAAAGGTAGACTTCTCCTAAGCGCCCAACCCGGAACTTGAATTCTATGGCACATTCTTGGCTACGCAGTGAGTCAAAGGATATTCCACTGATGGTGCTTCAAACAAACCTTTAGATTCCTCACTGACAACACCAACGCGTGGCCGTTCCAGAGTAATGTCGAGTCATGGTAGTCTTCTTGGATGTTGCTTAATAGGTTAAGAACGTCCCGTATTTATACTGTTTATTACCACATTGGCTTCGGCCGCTCTTTTTTCTGAAGCAAAACCGTCTTGGTAGCAGAAAATTAAGCTTTTACCTTAGTTCTTTTGGGCTTTTTGTCAAATTCTTGCACAAGGCTGTAAACATAACTTCAAGTCTCTCTGGGCACTTCAAAGTGTCATCGCTCTGGGCTGTCCTTCTTTAACTTGGCCGGGAATGAGTTCATTTCATCAACCAAACAGGCGTTAGTTGTTTAGCGTTTACTAGCACATGGCCAATCAAAAATCTTATATTGGTATAATATGGCTGCCATCACTCCCAAGCAATTTTCTCAGAGACTTTCATTTATGTGAGCCATGATCAGTTCCTCGCAACCCTCCGGCAGGGTGACATCATCCACAACCGTAACATGTAGCATCCCTTCTTCTTCTCTGTGAATATGAACTTCTTGATGGTCCACTGATGGAAGCACTTCCCTTCGACCCGTTCTAGTTTTCCTGGTTATTAGTCGCTGTACTGTCGGAAGTCGGGACAATTTCGTCTAATGTGTCCGTTTTTAACACAGCCTCAGCATTGCAGTTCTCGTCGTTTTGTCCATTGCTGCTCAATTAATCTTTTCACTAATTCTTCTAGATTCTCGTCATGTTTTTCTGTAGCAATAGTTTGCATTACTATACAAGATGTTTTCTTTGCAGGGCATGTGCCAGCGCCTTTTCCAATTTCTCATTTTACGTAGGTAATCTTCAAAGCTTGTTGCGTTTCCACATCGCAAACACAATCAATAAACATCTGCATCGCCAGCTGCTCTATAAAGCTTTCTGGAGCCGTAGGATACGCCAATCTTGTCTACTTGGCTATATCGGTCTCGAGTTATTGCAGTTTCGCCCGATTTTTGTGTTCGATTCTTTAATTGTGCGTAATAATCGTATGCCAAACATCCAACGCGTCTCCACGCAACGCAACTATCAAGAAAGTTGCTTCTCTTCTACTGTCCATCTATTTGTGGCGACCACGGTGATTTAATACTTCTTAGCATTTTATCGTGCTGACATCTTTCTTTGACCCTCGTTATATGTTAATCAATGCTTTGACTGAATGAAATTGTAACTTTGGTGCTATTGGTGGACAATGATCAGTAATTTGGTCTGTAATAATAAAATATGTAGCAATCAAATTTTTATTTGTACATTTGAGGAAAGTGTGGTCTATGAATGATTGTGTATCACCAGATATTCTTGTATTGTAGTACAGTAATAATTAAGTTACCTATCCAAGTTTAATGTTAAGTAAACGAAAATGATATTTATTATAATAACTTTGAACAGAATATAAAATGAAGTCGATGTAAGATGGATTATTGTTATAAATAAACTTAATATTAATTTTAAGATCGATGGACTTTATTTTTTAAAGAAATAGGACTCCTTAATAAAATCTAAAAAACTTTGAACTTACCTTGTACCTTACCTCCGTACTGTCAACTGGCAAGTACTAACGTTTTTTTTCTCCTTACTGCGCTATAATTACGGCAAGTAAAATTTATAAATATGTACCTAACTTAGAAACGACCTAATGCTAAAATACAGATGGTTATAATGAATCATGGACGAATAATTAACACCTGGATTGATAAGAGATAAGCCCAGGGTCAGCAACAACAACAACCACAAGGGCTGATTTATAAATAAATAGATTAACATTTCAGAATTACGACAATTAAGAAATCAGATTAATTCTTACCCTGTTAGTCGACCTCTTTGCCCTATGAGCTTTAAATCCCACCATGTAGTGGCTAATTATTATAATTATCTAACTAATATGCACTAAATCACTATGATCAGTGTTTCTAAATTAATTAGCTGTGATATAAAATGCAGATAAATCTGGCCTAATATTTGCCTTTTAATTGCTGGTACCGCAAATCACGTTGCTTTGCTGTTAGGAAAGTACAGGTGTAAGTGAACGAGTTATCAGTGTACGCTAAATCTTTGATTATAAAAATAGGTTTATATTCAAAGGCTAAATACATTTCAATTATTCTCAAAAATTTGATTTCTAAACTCCTAAGTGTATGCAACCTTACCTCATCCTTTTCAAACCCAACCGTTATACACCTAATAAATTGACGCACTCACTGCAAGCTATCTAAGTTCTGCTGCCTTCACAATGAAAATCTCGCAATTGTCTCTTTCTCGCTCGGCGAGAAAAATCATCACGCGCAATTCAGCACATCTCCTATCACCACATAGGTAACAAATCTCCCTATTAGTCCAGTCAAATTACGGTTTGGGCTGGATGTTGTCACTTCACTCAACGACACCAAGCGCATCCTATGTAAAAAAATACGCTGAATCCGAAAATCCTAGTCCCCCTGGGCGGAAACGCCCGGAACATATTGTTATAACCAAAAAACGAAGAAAAAAGGGGAAAATGTCGTGTTTTTGACTTCGAATATCTCGTTAACTATTTCTCCGAGGGAAAAAATGAATAGAAATGAACTTGTTTAGAATAAAGTTTTCTATAAGATACAGTTGGTCCGGAACGCTCATTTTCAACTGTTATTGTTATTTATGGAAAAATGTAAAAAAGTAATCTCGAAAATTAACACTTTGTTATTACTAAGTAAAATTCATCCGATCTTTTTGAAAATCCGTATTTAGTAACTTCTTTTGATAACAAAACAATATGACAAACCAGATCACCGTAGGTTTCATACTCATTGATTAATTAAATAAACAAGTAGAAAAAGAGATACTTTGTCTTTCAAACTGGGGGACTACAAGATCGTTCCCAATTTTTTTATACATAGTGGAACCGTAAGACAATCTTTTCCAATAATTGTTCCGATCATTTTTGCAAATCAATGGACAGTGGAATTTTTTTAGTTAACTAACAAATCGAATAGCTTCCGAGATTTAACAAGAAAAGTAACTCTATAATCGGCCCTTGGCACTCGGATTAATAAAAATCATTCATTTTGGTGAAATAGAAGCATGAAAAAAGTTCACGCTGTAACTGTAAAGAATCGATCGGTGCGACCCGATTTGCAAAATCATTGTTGGTTGTTTCGAAAACTGGCTTCAAAGTCAAAAGCTGATTTCTCGTGAACTGTTAATCGGATTTGGACGTTTTTTTTTAATGTACGGTTTATCGAGAGTTTTACATTCGCCTATTATAGAGTTATATTATTTTGTTATATTTCGGGAGTTATTCCATTTGTTAACTAAGAAAATTCTTCGGATTTTGAAAAAAAATTGCACAGTCCGTCGATTTGCAGGAATCATCGGGACAATTATTGGAAAAGATTGCTTTAGGGCTATAATATGTATAAAAAAATTGAGAACACTCTTGTACTCCCCCAGTTTGAAAGACAAAGTATCTCTTTTTCTACTTGTTTATTTAATTAATCAATGAGTATGAAACCTACGGTGATCTGGTTTGTCATATTGTTTTGTTATCAAAAGAAGTTACTAAATACGGATTTTCAAAAAGATCGGTTGAATTTTACTTAGTAATAACAAAGTGTTAATTTTCGAGATTACTTTTATACATTTTTCCATAAATAACAATAACAGTTGAAAATGAGCGTTCCGGAGCAATTGTATCTTATAGAAAATTTTATTCTAAACAAGTTCGTCTCTATTCATTTTTCCCTCAGAGCAATAGTTACCGAGATATTGGCAGTCAAATGTGAAAAAACACGACATTTTCCCATTTTTTCTACGTTTTTTGTTTATGACAATATGTTCCGGGCGTGTGCGGCCGGGGGGAATATGATTTTCCGATTCAGCGGATTTTTTTTACATAGAATACGTTTGATTGTTTCGTTCAGTGAAATGACAACATCCAGTTTATACTACATTGAGAGCTAATTTGACTGGACTATATCCAAATTTAGGAGGCGTAATTTGGCAACTGCAGGATAATGCGCGTTGTATGCGACCTTTCGGATTTAATAATATATTATGTAAATATTCCCACAATTATAAAAACAATAAGGTGTTTCTTTTTTGCAGGGATCCATGCAAGTGGCCAAGGTACTGCCGTACGTCACCAAGGAGAGATTATGGAGCTGCACCCACATCAGTGATAACTCATCACGTCTTAAGCCAATTTTGTAAAAAAAGGGTGACTTCCCAACTGTTGTAGTTATTTTATACCTACCTTTATTGTAACTTTTTAGAAACTCTCTTAAGTAACCATGACAGAATATAAATTTATTTAAAAGAGAAAATAAATAATTTCAATACAAATTGAATTGTTGAATCTAGTTTGTTACGTATTTTATATAATGCTGATCTGTATAAAAATAGTCCTTTCAAATATATATTTAAAAAGAAAACTCGTCTAAAAGCTAAATTTACAGGCGATAAATTGTACTATGGAGTATTTAATACACTATATTATTAACTAAGGTATAATTTAATTTGAGCATGATTTACTCTCAGTTTTCAATATGTACACGATTACTTCCTAAATAAATATGGCATACAGATTTGTGGGTCAGGCAGTCGATTTACGTCGGCTTTTTCTCAATGGCACTGGCAGTCGTAGTAGCGCCGCTAACAACCTAAAATAATTAAGCATTATGAGGTTAGCATTTCGTGGGAACTATTGTACTAAACAATACAACAATCAATAAAGGTATTCCTTTTAAATCTGCAATCTTCATGTGAAAAGAAAAGTGGTTGTTACACTTACTTTCGAGTGTCCGCTTAACGTAACGACAGTGGAATTTGGAGCGTCTGTTACCGAAGTCAAGTCCATTTGACCGAACAACGGATGACCGGTCGATTTCGGTTCATCGGTCGTCGTGGTCATCAGTTTGTTTACTACAATATAATGGATGAGATTTATCTGTGTAGTTTTAGTAGCTACTTACTAAGGTGAGGCCATTCGCTGTAAACTACCTTCAATCCATCCTTATCAATTCTAGTCCGGTTTTTGTCACCTCCATTAATCACGACGGAGAACTTCGAACTTAAACCTAGATTTGGCGATTTAGTAAATGGGAAGAGTTTCTCGTTGATTTCCTTTGGTATCAGAAATTTCCACGGCTGTGGCGTTACGACGTAAATCTTTTCTTTGGTTAAAGGCGAAATTGACAATTGCAGTTGTTCCCAATTCGGTAACGTGGACAGAACCGGCACCATTGACGCTATATTTGTGCTTCCTTCAGTCGTAGATGAGCCGGTCAGTATCAAATTGGTATCAATGTCTTTGTTTGCCTCTGTCGTGCTTGTGGATTCCGTAAAGTTTCCACTTGTGTTCTGTGTAACTCCGTATGCGTGGGTTGTTAAATATTCAGATGGTATTTTCTTTGAAGGAATCAATTTCCCACTTGTACTGCTGAAACCACTCACTATAGTGTTTGAAAACTCCTGCTCCGTCCAACCGTCGATACTTTTTTGTAGCTTCACCGGATCTCCACTCGTTACCAATTCGCGAATATTCAAAACGGACTCTGTAGGTCTCTGAGCAGTTACAAATATCTGCCCGGACGCTTCCGGCGAATGGTCCAATGCGAAATGGCTCCACACCGGTGCTCGATCTGCGGCCGGAGGTTGAGTGTAAATCGGCAGTACACCGGACGCCTCTCCCTTCGGGTCATTCATACGATACGGTATAATTATCTGCACGTGCTTCGGCTTCTTGGTTGTCGCCCAAGAGGGTTGCTTGAGTGGGGGCGGCACCATAACAGTCGATAAGTCGGATATGTTAGGTATCCAGTCAGCGAAATTTAAGACGGGCTTGTTTGCATACCCTGACAGCGTCGGTTTTCCCGTAGATGGGGTTTGTGGTAAAAATAAGTTGAACTGTGGATGTGCAGTTGAGGAAGAATGTACTTGACTGAAATCTCTTCCATCATAAGAGATAACAGGTGGCTCGTGCTTCTCCAAACTCCAGGGTTTGAACGTTTGCGGAGTAGGTACCACACGTGCAGTATTATCAACGGTATGTAGTGAACCGTCATACTGACTGTGACCCGTAGGAACCGGCAGGTTCAATGATTGCACAGGTTCCTGTAGCTCGTAGGCGGGGTTTGGTTCGTGCACTAAATTGTAATAGGTTGCATTCTGCGCCGTGGCGGCCGCTTGTGTGTCTATCGGTCGTTGGCTCGTTTGCACTTGGTCTACACCGTAGCTAACAACATTTTCTTCGACTTTGGGCACATCATTACTGGTGGCGTGTACTTCGACAATAGGGGACTGTATTACCTTAATGGGATGCTCGATTGTCGAGATGAAATCTGCAACACGAATGCTCGGAATGAGTTGCACGCTGTTGACCGACTCCTGATTGCTGTGTCGGAAATTTGTTTGGGAAAGCGCGTCTAGGTGTGGTAATTGTAAGGGGATGTCGTAATTGGTGAGTATCGGAGCGTAGCTTTTGAACACTTCCGGTTCTACGCTCGGTGGTCTGAAATCAAAGGAGAACCCGGGCATGTGCTCGAACGGATAAGGCGGTGGATCTGATGCTTTTACGAAGTTTAGAGGAATCGGAGGTCCATGCTGATGTTGTAACGCTGGGCGTAAAGGCTTCGATTTTCCTTGCACAAATTTGTTGTTCTTTGAAGGTTTATTTACATTAGTGTATTTATACGGTGGAGATTTTCCGGTTGGGGGAGGTATGAAGAATGTGGGAGGTATGTAGTTAGGAGGTGGTCTGAAATTCTGATTTTTGTTCGAATAATGCCCCTGTTGATCGTTGGGAACACCGTATCGCGTTGGTGGTGGTCCATACTGATGCGTGGGTGCAGGAGGACCATAGTGATTTGTAGGAGCGTGAGGCGCACCATACTGGTTACTCGGTGGGCCATATTGAGGGTTAATTTGGTGAGCAGAGGGTGGCGGCAGGCCGTACTGTTGGTTGGGTATTTGCGGCGGTCCATACTGCTTTGTTGGAGGGGGCGGTACGCCGTATTGATGACTTGGTGGTCCATACTGTTGCGAGGGTGGACCATATTGAAACGAAGGCGTCTGCTGCTGATGGGGATGTACGAATCCAATTACCGTATCGAGCCCATGCCTCGAAGCAATAGGCACCCACGGCTCCTGATTGCAAGGATTGCATATCTGCTGTGGTTTGGGAGGAGGTAAATACTGCAGCGAATGCTGTCTACTGGATTCGAGTGGAATCGGATCAGGAGAAGGTGAATCAGAGGATCCTCCAAAAGGAAAAATCCAGCTCGCAATCTTTGACATTAGCGATGGTTCATCATGTGATGAGTGTTCTATCGATTGTTGCACATCTATTCTCGATTGGGCACTGCTCGAAGAATTACTATCGGCTCTCACCCTCACAATAAGACTCAGGAGTACGACGGAAATTATCTAAAAAAGAAAACAATGTCAATGCAAATAACAAAGAAAACTACGAATGCAATATCACTGACCACTTTCATTTCCCTGAAAATCCGCGCGTGACCCTAACACCTGAGACGAACAACCTCGACCTTAATTCTATGTAGGTAAAGTTCGTATTTATGTGTTTGCATACTAAATTTAAGCACGAATTAGAAATTTTTATTTTCGTTTGTAATTTACCATCTCAAATAGGCCTCAATTATAGTATCGAAAGTGAATAATATCTTACACACATTTTAGTAAATTAATAGCTTTTTTTAGTTAAATGGAAAACAACCTGGAAGTAAGTTACTTAGTCAATAATCAGATGAAGTCATTTTAAAAGGTTTCAATCTACTTAGCATCATTTTTGCACATTAATGACCTCATTTTTAACAACCTTTGCACTTTGATGCACAAAAACATTTCGAATTACTTCCTTGCACGTACTTCCGCAAACAAATTGTCTGGAACGATCCGCTTAATTCTTTTAGGGAAATCTGTTATTTATAAATTATTTGCATAAGTAATTCTTTATGTGAGGTTTACAGTGTGATGAGGCCGATTTGAAAATGAATCTTATTACATACGACTAAATCATGCCTAAAACGCAACACGTGTTGGTTTATTATAACCGTGTAACTAATCGAAGATTTTACAACCCAAATTTCTCTTGTGCGGCTAGAGAGCCATCACGTTTAGTGACCCCATATCACTTACTACAAACGTTTAATCACTAATTTAATTTTAGAATGGGAGATGGTTTGGTTTGGTCGTTTTGGTAATTTTTGGATTAATTATTCGATTAGGTACGAAGTTCTAATTCGTTGATTGGCTGAAACAGTTTTGATCCGGATTAGATAACGGACTGCCTTTCGCGCCAAGATCTACCATATTCAGGAACATATTGAAAGCAACGACCTAATTTTACTATTTGCATATGTATACAATTCCATTTCGTTTACACAACCCCACTTCCAGAAAATAAGCGCAATGGAACAACGAAAGGTCGGTAATAGTTTTGCTAAGCAGTACCCACTAATGCTTCTGTGAAGTACCTAAATTAACAAATTTTTGGATCAGTTGTTGAATACTCAAAAATATTGATCTTTGGGTACGCACAGAGGGACATATACTTAAATTGTACCTTCCGCTTTGAAATAAAATGTTGAGTAAATGAACTCATAAGGCTCATAATACAAACTTTACTATGATTGACTTACTGAAGACACACAATGTATTGGAAAATCGGCCCTCTAAATTTCGACACCCTATGCCTATAGCATCTCTAGCCCTTAAATCTCCCAAAATTTTTGAACCTATAAAATTCGAATCCAAATTTAGAGCTACCGTTACAACTAATACTGTGCAAAAAAGAACCTTAGGATGCTTAAATCAGATTTCACTTTTTCAACTTCTTTTAAGGTTATGGTCGTAATTAATCAAGACACTGTGACAAATTTTTGAATAAATCTGTAGGAAACCTTCGTAAACATTAACGTTTGTTATAACCCCCTTCCCACCATGGTGGTTATTATGTGGTAATAGTATTACGATGCAAGGGTAAGTATTTGTAAGTCATATTATGGAAAGCGGCTGTAGATCTACGCCCGGTTTCTTCCATGAAAGCAGATTTGCCCATTGTTCACAGCGCAGGATATCTGTCAGACCATTGAATAAAAACACTATAAGAAGCCTAACGCTTATGGAAGAAAGCGCGACATATCCCCTTGTACCCGCATTGGTTTGGACCCCGAACTCTCTTTGAGGTAAATAGGGGGAAAGCAAATTTTCATTCTTCTCAGTTCAAGAATCGACACTATCGACAGTGTTCCCATTATATTCTCAGTTCAATCTCTGTCGCGCTTTATTTCCACGGGGTTATGCTTCTTATAGTGTTTTTATTCAATGGTCAGACGCATGTCTAACCTTTATCTAAGACAAGAGAAACGTCCGTATTAGTATGGAATGTGCTATCAAACATTCTAGACCTAAACTAACTGCTTCCTTTGAAATAAGGGATTATAGTAATTGATGTATTTTCGGGTCCGTTAACTTGGCCTCCCCACTGAGAGATTTGATAGTCGTATTATTTTAAAATGAATGCGCTCGTTATGCGCTCATATGCGCTACCGATAATAACTCTTGTGCCATTATCGTTTTTTAGAAATCCGAAAAAACATTGGGGGGGGGGCAGTGAACGTAGCGCCCCCCCCCAGTACGTATTTTGTCGCTTGTAACTAGGTCACCTGATACGTTTGGTTGCGCCACTTGATTTAAAGCTAGCGCCATTACGATTAAGCCGTGACAAATTTTCAAAAAGCGAGGGGGGGGGGCAACTTAACGTTTTTAAAAGTTACTTTTTTTTAACATCTTTTCATACGACATTCTCAGGTATGCGCTGAAATGCGCCGTAAAAAGATATCTTTGCGCCATTTTTGTTTTTTGGTTATCCTTAAATATATTTGGGAGGGGCCAAGTGAACGGAACCCCCCATAACGCATTTTACTACCGGTATTTGTGCCACTCGATACATCTGGTTATGCGCTCAATTGCCTACTACTGCCTACAACGCTATAATTAATTATGAAAATTTTACAATATCCCTTTCTAATAAAACTCATGCAATCACAATAGGTACCCTTAGAATCGAATTATAATACAATAAGTTGCATTCCATCGAGGTGCGAAATTATTAAACATTTTTGGGTTGAAACTGAAGAGGAGTGCGTTATTAATTAATTTTGACAAATTAAATAGGGAAGAATCTGATACAATCCAGAAAATATGCGCGAAATACGCCGACGTGTTTATTCTAGAAAATGATAAAGTTACCGTTACTAATGTGGCTAAAGCGGAAATTAACTTAAAACCTGAGGCACGTCCAACTTACATTAAACCATATCGATTACCAAACTCTCAAAAACACGAAGTTAACAAACAAATCGACCAATTGCTTAAGGATGGGATCATTGAAGAAAGTAAATCGGCTTGGTCATCACCCATTCTAATAGTTCCCAAAAATTCAGGTAATAATGAAGTCCAAAAATGGCGAATAGTCGTAGATTATCGTCAATTAACAAAAATATTGAAGATGACAAGTTTCCACTTCCGAATATTACAGACATTTACGATGCACTAGGAGGTGCTACGTATTTTTCACATTTAGATCTCACGCAAGGGTTTTATCAGGTAGAATTAGAGCCAACATCTAGAAAATATACAGCATTTTCCACTGCTAAAGGTCAATTCCAAATGAAACGTTTACCGATGGGATTAAAAATTAGTCGAAATTCATTTTCACAAATCAATATGTAATATTCTTATTCCATTACAACTTGAATTAAAGCTAGCGCCATTGCGGTTAAGCCATAAAAATTTTTTTAAAAGTGGGGGGGGGCTAACTTAACGTTTTCAAAAGTTGCGTTTTTTAACATATGTTTCTACTACATCGTACCTTTCATCACGCGCTAAAATGCACCGTAAACAAAAATCTTTGCGCCATTATAGTGTTTCAGAAACACTATACAGGGTGTTTTTTGGGAGCTTTAGTTAAATGTTTCTGGGAAAGTAAAATAGGTAGTTTTTTAAAAATTTGTACTTAGGAGTTACTCCGAAGGCCGAATCGATGTAAAATATTTTCAAAATGGACGCACTTCCGGAAATACCGGAAGTGGTTAGTAACTTCGTTATTTTAAATGGCAACCCCTATTTTTTATTACATTTTTGGACTCTGCGTGATATTTCAGTTCTTTTGATATCAACATATCGATATCTACCATTTATGGTTTTTAAGTTATTTTGATTTTAAGAAAAGAAATGGCGGATGCAGATGGTAATATGGCAGATGGTAAGTTGATAATTGATTACTTGAAAACGGTTGTAGTCATAGCAACCCATTTTTATCAGTGCATAGAGAATGAACAGGGCTTTCATTTAGTGTACTTAAAAAAAATTAAGTTCGGACAACCGCACCTATGGAGATCCAAAGTTATGAAACTTCAAAGACTAAAAACTCAGGTTTTTTTTAATTGAATGACCATTTTCTTACTATTACTACTATTAACAGACGATCAAATCTAATAACACTAACATCCATCGTCTTAATAGTATCTTCGACTTCTCCGCATTCCCATTAGCATTACTTTTACTTTTACTCGAGGTGTGTACATACAATTTCATTTAAATGTCTTAACAAATACAAAAATTAGATTGCGCATGCACAATATTATATTTTCATCTTCAAAATTGTTTGAGGTTTAATAAATATTTACTGACACAGAAAACCGGGCATTTATATGTTCTTTGTAGCAAGAATTTATTATAAAAGATACCATTCTTTGAAGGTTCGAGCAGTTTTTGGGCTGTAACTGTTTGGCCCGTTAGTCTAAAAAACAATAGCGACCTTTCTTATGTCCTTAAGAACATTTGTACCAATTTTCAAAGCGACATTGCGGCATAATGCATCAACTCCAAACCAAGTAAGTTAATACCTATGAGTTGTTGGCGATTATTGCAAACCGAGTTAAAATTGCACAATTAGAACATAACTTCACCGCATACCCATATACATATATACTGTACTCATTATAAGAAGGTAGGGTGGCGCTGTGTTTAAAGATCGACACACACAGGAAAAATATAAAACGGCACAAAATTTGGAAAATATAATTATAAATCAAACGATATCACGTTTGGATTTTTCAAATTGACAGCTAATGACAGTGCGACAGTTTAGTTCGTAATTGAAACTTCTAACAGACAGAATTCGTCACTCGTTTTATTTTTCAGGGTAATAGTGACGTGTTTTAACCAATCACAGTGAAGGTTACACTGTCCCTATGCTTTCTACCGCTACCTTCTTAAAATGAATAGCGTTATAGTTCTATAGGTAATAAAAAGGGTTCTCAAAAACTATAATGCGGAAAGATTTATGTTTACGGCTCATTTTAGCGGATGATGATGAAAGGTACGATGTAGTAGAAAAA